AAGACTGGCAAACGGTTATATCTTCGCCTGAGGACAAAAAAAAAAAAAAAAAACACAGAAGATGGAGCATGCAAAGATGAGTGACAGAACAGAATGAGGAAAAAATAAACAAAAGAACAAAAGGGCTCAAATAGAGAAGAAGAGATTTGATGGGAAGAGTCGGCTCAATGCAGAACCGACAATACCAGTTGCAGATTCCAACGAAAATGATTACGGAGGTATGAGTACTAGAATACAATATTTGCCACACTTCCCACTAGTTGCAGTAAGTGACTAAGTTCCATGTAGCTGCCGGTCAATGTTTTGTCCTTCAGGAGCTGTTCAAAATCTGTATGAAAGCTTCGCTTGTCTAAAAATGACTCAGCTTTTGGGGTGTGGTTTAGATGTGAGAAAAGCAAAAAAAAAGCAAAGCTGTAAACTACCAGAGCAGCAAAGAATGTTGCACTCTACTCCCGACTCACTTGGCAAAACATAAAGATGCTTCCTAGCATGTTAAATTCATTGAACTTTTTTTTTCCCCCAAATCAATTTCCGAGTTTATAAAGAGCAGCCTGGCATGTCACTTAACAGCACAACATTTTTTGGATTTGTATTAATTTGCCTCATATTATACAGTGGAAGCCCAGTTCGCAAACTCCTTGTCTTCAAGGTGACATTTTCTTGAAGCTTACCTGTGAGGGCAGCGCGCGGCTGCAACTCGTGGATGGGATTGAGGGCCTCCCCGGGTTGGCTGGAGAACTGTTTTTCTCGGGTTCCCAGGTTGACGAGGGAGAGGGGCACTTCTTGAGCGGGTACGGCCTTCAAGGGTCTGGGGCGAAGAGGCCGGGTTGTTCAGAGTGGGCAACTGGTTGATCAGGCCGTCTTGGCATCGCTGGAGACTTGATGAACACTGAATGTGCGTTTGTGTAGATTTGGGAAAGGGGAGGCTGATTGGATTCAGGACTTGGTCCCGTCCTGAGGATACACACAATTGAGAGGGGGAAAAAAAAAAAAAAAAAGGTCAGGTATATGCGCTGTCATCATCGCTGGAGAATTATTTTTATAACACGCCAGCGGAGTACTAAATAGGCCTCGGAGGTCACCTGGTGCTAGCGGGCACCACATTGGTGACCGCTGGTTTAAGTTTTAACAAAGTTTTCACTGAACACCGCTTTAAGTGTCACCTGTAAATTTGCCAAACGTCAACCGCAGGACATTAGCCACCCAAAAAAGGAGAATGTGAATCAACAAGTATGAACACAGGCACCCTTCAGTCAAAGCGGACACGTGTATTTGACAGCTACAAGTGTGCGTGTGTGTGCGCAACTCGATTGACCTTTTTCAAAGAGGTTAGAAAGTGGTTCCGCTCCTCCTGCCTACTGCAGCGGTACACACGTCTATTTATAAACGTTCACTTCGAAAAGCTAACACTTTGTGGACAATATAAGAGGCAAATAAGCCAGCGTGTGTGTGTGTGTGTGTGTGTGTGTGTGTGTGTGTGTGTGTGTGTGTGTGTGTGTGGACAACAGGCAACTGTTCGGATGCAATGAAGCTTAAATGCATTAAAAGGTTTGTGAGAAATAATTCCAGTCATTGCCTTCAATCACTACTGAAGTATGATTGAGCTATTACAGCACTGAAGCGCCTTCATCGGTTTGCTAGGTAAAAATAGAAAATGATTTTTTTTTTTTTAAATTGAGCAATAAGACGGACCCCTGGCATGCGGACAAGGCACACTGACGTCTGCTCCATCTTTAGCTACTCTCAGCTCACACATCTGAAGCCCCTGGCATGCGGCCAGCTTCTAGAATTTCTCCTTCCACGGGTCGCTTCGCCGTACTTCTTGATCGATCAAAAGACAAACAGAAAAGAATCATTTCTGCAACCATGCTCCGAATAAAGAAAGTAGAGACGGTACAGCCTTCCGCAACTGGACCCACAATGGTAAACACCGGGTCCATTCCATGGAATCGAGTTGTTTACATCTCTGAATCTTGACTCGCAGGCAAGCAGTCACTTGCAAATTAAGACGATGAAAATATGACATAAAGCAGCCTCTCTCTCATCATACAAAACACTCCTGGTCCTAAAATCGTTATCACAGTGCCTTATTTTCTGTAGCTTCCCTTCAAGTACAGCCTGCACGCGGGCCCCAAAAGTTGGCAGCGCCGCGGAGGCTGCGATCGTCTTACAGACAGAAGAGGTTGGGAAGGAGGCCGACAAAGATACACGGGGGAGAAAAAGAAATGTTCACAAAAGAACAGGAACAATTAAAAGACCAAAGTAAGAGAGGCGGGGAGGGAAAAGAGAAATGGAATGTGGAAAAGGGAGTGACAAAGGGCCATACGAGCGGAATGCAGCTGCAGCTTCGAACACGTAGCAAAAGGGGTCAACCAGCTCAAGAGAGTGCCGTGTGAGTTCAACGCTACCTTCGCAGCTACTTGTTCAAATAACTGCTGCCGGAATTGCTGCGGGGACGATCGCACGTTGCCGCTGCTTACCAACAAAAACAATTCAGTAGTGGATTCGAAAAAAAAAAAGATCCGCTCGTGACAACCCTTCAACAAACGGACTATTCGGATTAGCTCACGGGCTTTGTATGACCAGTATGTCGCCGTAAAAATCAGAAAGTGACCGTTCCCTCCTGATGTAATCCCGCAGAGATCGTTTTATTGTATTAATTCAAGCACATACGAATATACGGAAAACAAACGTACAAGAGCAGTTTATGCAAAGTATCGTCGCTCTCCTTTAAAAAAAAAAAAAAAAGTCCATTTTTGAGACATGATTTCAAACTGCACATCGTGAACGCAACGTAGATGATATCTATCGCCCACCCTGTGTATTGTGACAACAAAAGATTCCTTTTCCAAATGGTTCAGGTGACAATTCAGATCGCCACAAAGCGAGCGCAGCGCGACACCTCAAGTACAGAGAGAAGGAAGCGACTTTTGTGATAAAGCATCTGTCAAAGCGTTCTATTTTTCTATCGGTGCATCCCTACTTTGAAGTCAACTAAGAGTGTGAATTAACTTCATGTGAAGAACACAAAAGAAATATGTCTCTCGTAGTTTGAGCCACGCGAGCTGCTGTTAGGTGGAAAACTCTGTTGGCATGGCAACATTTCTTAACGTACAACAACTCCTACAGGCTCGTTGGTCTTGGCTAGATGACCGCACGGGCCACTGCGGCCGCAATGTTCCTCTCCGAGTGTACAAGTGGCTTATTAACCAGTAGGACGGCTGCCTTTTTTTTTTTCCCCCTGAAGCCACCATCTTACTTTTCACAAGTTGAAAGGCCGAAGACCGTCAAGCGACAAGCATTTACGTCACAAGTTCGTGTGTGTGAGTGCGCGTGGTTAGGAGCAGATAACATTTCTAAGGCTGGGAGGGGTTTGACGCTTCTGACACCGAGCAATCTGCAAATGCGCTACCTTGTGGTTTTGCTTATGAGTCATGAGCAATTATTTCATCTCCTGCAAGGGGGGTCATCGATTGGAAACCTGGTTGTTGTTGTTCGGCACCAACTCCTGTTGGTGAATTCAGTGGCCTTCCAAATTAATGGCTGCATAAATCATTTGGATGAACAATGTCAGAGGTATTTATGAAGGGAGATTTTTTTTTTTCAAAGGCAGGATGACCATTAAACGTTCTCAAATGAATACTTCCTCAACAGTGTCAAACGAGACTTGGGTTGACATAGGTCATCCTGGAAGGGGGCAGATAACGCTTCCGTTTGAGGTCCCTTCTCAAGGCTTCTTATTTTTTTCACCTGTACAATCTTTTTTTTTTAATTTAATGAGATTTGATGCAGAAGTCGGCCGCACCATCTCACAATAAATACATGAAAAGGGCAGAGTGTCTGAAACACGCTTGTCAACTCCCAAGTCCGAGACGGAGAGACTCCCAATTTTCTGCCCGAACACACACGCGCCATTGTTGAAAGTAACACGAGTAGTCTCGTCTAAAAAGGAGCCAGTGGAAAGTGGAACAGCAATCGAAACAGAAAAGCGGCACGACGTCACCGGGCAAGGTACACCGCTGCGCCGTTCTGCATTCATATTTCCACTGCAATAGTGACACCGTCCTTTGGAGGTAGCCCACTCGACAGTTAAGCGCTTTCTCCCAACAATGCTGCGGTGTTCTGGCATTTAAAGCAACGTGAAACGACGTCGGGCGAGTTCTACGCAAGTCATGACAACGGCGGCAACAACAACTACAACGGAGACGCCGCCGCCAAGTGAAGAGCAAACTTAATTTGTCAAACCATTGTTCTAAAATAGGACTAGGTGATTTGGCTTCAAAGTATATCACGAGTATTTCTTATCAGTCGGTGAGAGATTTTTTTTTTTCTTAACCTTATCCTAATGAGAAAACATATTTAAACAATAAAAAAGGTTTCATCCAGAGAAATTCTATTCAAAATATCTGCTCGGAAAACATTGCTGCTGTGTACATTGTAATGTTTCCATCGGTGCACTCATAGCAGTGCCATAAATGCGCATTTGCGGATAATTAACGATGCCAGCCCAAAGCGGGAGTGTTGATACACATACATTAACTTTCACTCACTGTTTATACAATCTCAAAAAACAAAAACAAAAGTAACCCACAAACTAAAACTGTCTTGGAGGGCATTTATTTTAGCTAATCCACCGTCTTACGTCTCATTGAACTTGATAGTGGGCTCAGATGATTTTTTTTTTGTTGTTTTTTTTTTAAACCTCGCCTACCTGATAGTGACTCAGGTGTGATGCTAAGCATGAAAGTCGAAGAGGCTAACGCAGGCGTGTCTATGATGTCATAGACAGGGAATTTCTTGACTTCTACACCACGTAACGAAGCGGTGGTGTTGATGCTGTGCAAACCGACATGACTAATGTCAGTTTGCAAGTGTTGCACTGAGGAAGCTGGTCATTTATTTTCGCCGCACTTTCAAATCGGCGTACGCACTGTATGTCTTCTGGAGTCAGCAGGCAAAGCCCTCGGGGGAACAATGCTCACAAAAATAGTTCTGGTGCATTCAAAGTACGCTTCTGTGCTCAAAATGCCTTCTTGTGCGCTTGTCATTGTAGCACAAATCTCGCATCATCCTGTTGCTGAGCCCTGCCCACCACAAGATGTCTTGTATGGATTTGGGTTTTCTGACTGTTATTTTTTTTTTTAATCGAACATCCCATCACACATTTTCCATTGATATTGTCTATCGCGATACATACAGTATTGATTTTGAATTATCACCCAGCCCTTTTCTAAAACGTCAGTGCAACGATTTGAAGCGATCAATGTCATTGGTTTCGTCTCTCTACCTTTTTGTCCAGGGCCTGTTTTACTCTTATCCTCCTCCTTTGTCACACACTCCCTTTTTCGTTTTCTTCCATCCACAGTGTGTCCTTCTGTGGGTGGGTTCCCTGTGGAGGGCATTAAGCAGGGAAAAAAATTATAATATTTTATATCAATATATTTTTGAGAGACAGAGAGATTGCTCAGCCCTAGTAAGCCCTTTTCATTGTTTGTGTGCCATTTGCCTCCTAGCCGACAGCGCACATTTTACCAAATGCATATTAGTTTCCACCATATTTCCTCTGTTATCTGCAGGTACACCATGTGGCCTGCAGGAAAAAAAAAACCCTGGATGCTTTTGTTTAAATCCATTAATAGGATTACTACAAAGGGCCTTGACTTAGTCAGATAACCGAATGCACAAAAATGCCGAGACGCCACAATAACATTAAATAGCTCATAAATTCCTTGTATTCAAATAGTAGGTGAGAACGTGCAAGGTCATTCATTCACGATTTGTGCAAGACTCTAAAGTGGGACTGGAGATAACAGGAGCCGCGCGTGTTACTGTGCATGCAAAACAAATTTTTATCGTACTCGCTCATCCTGCCTGTGGTCCCGCGTGGCTATTTATCGACTTCATCGTGTATAGAGACAATTACGTCCAAAACCATGCCATTAATTCAGTTCTTCTTGTTGTAACAAAAAATCAGGAGCAAGATGCTTTCGGGAGGATTCGGAACAGCCCGAGATCAGGTCACATTCACTTAACTATCCAGTGAGCTCCCGCTCGGTTATGTAATCCAAAGCAAGTGGTTGGCATGGAGATACTGGATCATGTTTTTCTTTTCAGATACAACTTTACTGGGACCAAATGCCATGATGTCTGAATTATGATTACAAATTTGATCAATGTAAATGCTGCCACGCCCGTACTTGGGTTCCTATACCTTCACCTGCTCCTCCCCAACCATCAAGTACTTCAGCAGATGGTTGTGGGTTCGACAACAACAGCAGAGCATGGTGGGAGCCTCCCGGAGAGAACACACACCAATACAGGCAGCATCTGTTTATGAATGGGCGGACAATCGCCCATCCCCCCCGACAACTACAGCTGACATGGGGAAAGCAGGCACCAGGAGTGGCAAAAAAAAAAAAAATCAAGTCGGAATAAAGAATCGGCGGGCAGGCTAAAGGGAGCGCGAGACACACAAGGTCAGCATAGCTGCGATTGGAAATGCGTTTTATAGTTTTGGTTATCTCACTCCAGAGACGCTCAAGAAACAAAACTATTATTGATGGTACCAAACCAGAGCTAGTTATCAACCTGCATCTACAAATGACCGTGACAAAGTGGGTTTTATAAACTCTCAGGGGGCGGGGGAAACATCTTTGTCAAATATGATTTCTAAATTCATTCAACAGTGTTGACACTTAGACAAAAAAAAGAAATCAATCTCAAGTTACTACTAACACGAAGCATCCATTTACGACACGCCCGGGAGCCACGTCACCAGACTGATGAACAGGATTCACATTCCAAAAATATCTTTTCACGAACCGTGGTCTCTGTTCCGTTTCAAATGCGTGAAAATATCTGAAGAGCTTACTGCACTATTCAGCACATATTTGGAGAAAAAAGGGATGAAGGCGATGGGGTGCAGCAGAAAAGAAAAAAAAAATCAAAGGCCGACACTGCCGCAAAAGGGCAAGACCACTTTTGCATATTCATCATAATCTATTTTTATATTCGTGTTAAATTGGTGACATTTAAAAAAAAAAAACATTTTATTTTCCACATCTGTCCGACAGCCCCGCTCATTTGTTGCTCTCTCAAGATTCCACCGATGAGTAAACAGAGGAGCAAGGACCAATTAGCTAGTAAATTTTAAATTAAGAAATATAATTGGCCCTTAACTAGTGTTACAGGTGAATTGAGTGCAAAAAAAAAAAAAAAAAAAAAAGAATGAGTTCGCCGTCTGTCGAGCGTGCATACCAACTCGCATCCAGCGACACTAAAATGACAACATTTCCCACACGCACATTTACGGTACGGCAAGTGAGGAGGAGGAAACAAAATGGCCGACAGACAAACCAAATCTGCACACACAGGAAAAGATGAAGCCGAGGTGTCGCCCAGACATCACTTCCATCAAATTCTGTGATAACGATGAGGAGAAAAACGCCTTGGCGACATGTGACTAAGCCGGGCGCCATTTTGAATCATCGCTACTTGTGACCGACACGCTGATGACCAAAGGGGCCTCAACAAACGGAAGCAATCTACAGAGACTGCAACAACAATCAACCAACTAGGAAATGGTTCTGTGATTATTTTTTTTTTCATTAAATGATCATAACTTCAGGGAAAGCAGTGACCCTTTGTGGCGGACAACGCCTGCTGACAAAAGCTTTTAATTATAGCGCATACAATTCTAAACTATTCTGGGTTTATGACGGGGGGGTAGGAATCAGACATCTGATGCCGCAAGACTAGTCATAAAACATTGCAGGCGTATCTTTTGGCGAATAATATTGAGTCATGCGGTGACGCCAAGTTGAAAAGGGATCATGTATTGATTCTATTTGTAGCCCGCAGGAAGCGTTAATCCTCACGCCTCATACCCAAATGCAAGACGCGCACCCAAACATGACCTAAAGACATCAAAGTCTGCCTAGAAATACATAAGGTTGTTCCCCCCCCCCCACCCTGTCGGAAGAACAAAAACCGGGGGATGGTCGCGTGGCTAATTTGCATGCAGCACACGAGAGAATTTGCATGGATTTGCATGAGTATGTTCTCATGGCGGCTTAACACTGGAACCCCCCGCCCCCTTTTCAGTCAAGCCATCACTCAATTAAAAGGCATCAAGTAAGTTACCTTTTCTATCCAAGCAGCCCGACAGAGAAGGCTTTGTATGGATGACACAATGGCTTTCCCACCAGTCTCCATCAGCGACTTACGGGGCCAATTCAGGTCGCGCTAATTTTGCCAATTCGGTCGGAAAAGAGTTGGCTCTCGATTTATCGACACTATTCGATAATTATTTTTGCTGATCAATCATTGTTTTTTTTTTAATTGTCTACCGTTAATATTCTCAGATTTCTGTAAATCCGTCATGAAAGCAGACGTACTACCTTTGTGTTGAATCAAAATAGAACATTTTCAAACATTTTTTCCCTTTGGAAAACAATGATCAAAATCTCTGCCTATTTTTTTTTTATGTCACAAACCAAACCAGTAGCTGAATGATGTTTGTGCTTTCTGCAATGTCATTTGAAATGTGTGTCTTTTTTTTTTTTTTAAATCTGATTCACAGATTAATTAATTTAGGGCCATGACAGTGGGAGACGATGGGCCACAGGCACGTGGCCGACTGAGCACAAGTGTTCTGGTTACCAACGTTTAGCTCTGCCAAAGAGTTTCGTACGGGTGAGGTTCTTGTTTTGCCTTGACTCTCAGCCAGACACCAGAATCGCAGAACAGTTTAATTTTGGAGGTTGTGCCCCAAGACTTGCGCCCAATTATAAAATCGCCAATTTGGCTCGTTGAAATCGATGCTTTCTTGCCTGGATGAGTATCTGCACACGTGCAGCCCAATTGCAAAAGTGGACTAACTGTGCATATTAAAAGCCAAAGTAAATAACATTTGGACATTCCGCAACCATTATTATCTTATAACTTGAGGTTCATCATTGACACCTTTGCATCATCTTTCGTGTTAAAATGGAATATTGGCTGAACTATTTTAATAATTGCGGAAATGTTAAATAAAAAGTTATTTAGAGCAGTGTATGTATTGCCAATTAAAAAAAAATACCTTGGATGAGATATTTTTCGAATCTATGTCTTTTTTTGTTTGTTTTTAAATGCAAGCAAAATCAGAGGTTGACCAACTTCCCTGATTGTGTTTGACTTCCACTAGAGCATTTTCACACCGTGAGCAACAAACAAGTGACGAGCAGGTTGATGGTCAAAATAAAAACATCCAGTTCGGGAAATTGCACATGCAGGTGATGGACTAGCTGCCTTTTTCGAGCTCTTTTGTGCGGCTGCGTGTGGACAAAGTGTACAGAGACAATAAGCTCAACACAAGCATCTGTGCGCACACAAAACATCAGGACCGTGGGCTTCTCATTGAGCGATTTAAAACAGCAAAGCTTACTCAGCACAATGCGGCCGAGACCAAACCAGACCCTCCAATTGAATTCAAACGGAACTGCGTGTGCTTGCATAAGCGTCAGCTACCCATCGACCGGCCGCACACACACTCCATGTTAGCACACGCAAATCGCTACAAACGTAAATTAAAGTTGCAAAAAGTGACAGATGGGGCCCCTTGCATGGCTTTTTTATGAGGAATTCTTGAAATGATAACAGGGCAACAATCGAATCCTGATGCCGTACTCCGCCCACGTTTATCGAATAGCAAACAACACGTTTCCATTGTTTTTTTATAGGCGTGTGAAGGCTAAAATGACGACTCTACAGAGCTACGTAATTGTTGGGTATGTCTGTGACTTCTCTTATCTACAAACATCACTTTGATTTGTGACCTTGCTAAAATCAAAACGGTTGGGCCCTCGTAAACAAGTGCTTCCGATCTAGTTTAGGCCAGCACGGGAGGCCCTGAACACATTGATACTGTGTGCGTGAATTAGGCGCTCACATGGACTCACACACCTCTTAAGATGCTTCAGTTTCTTTGGTGGCAAAAGCTTCCAATTCCGAATCTATAAAATAAAAGAAACACAGACAAGGTTAACATCCCAAAATGTCATGTGACGAATCTCTTCACAACCAACAGGATTTTATTGGGTTGCAATTAGTGTTCGACTTTGAGTGATGTAACAACAAAGGCTTGCAAACAAACGGTGTCCGCAATTATTATCAATTACAGTCTGTGAACAATGACAAATATGCTGGAAAACAAGTTGCTCTGCACAACAGGGAGGCAAGCCACTGTCTTCTGGGTCCAGCAAAGTGTGCGTGCGTGCATGTGCGTTTGTCTGCCTTGTGCAGACGGAGAAAGGCAAAGCGCGAGAGAGCGTTTAAGGTCAGAGTTACAGCTCGGGTCCCGATCGGCCATTATCTCCTCAGTTGTTGGCCCACTCACGGCTTTAACCAACATGGCTCCTCTCGCCTCCGCTGGTATTTTTCCTGCGCGACCAACACTAACAAAAGCCCTGTCGCGAGTCTGCGCAAAACCTTCCTGTGCCGTGACCTCGTCTGCCCTGTTTCATAAAGTCTCAAGCATCGAAGCGCAAAAGCAAGGCGATGTAGGGTCGTGTTTACTGGGTATGAACCAGCTGATGGGCGCCCCTTTACCGACAGAGGGTGTTATAATAAAAGTCACGAAAACCAACACCTAAACTAGCACGGTGAGTCTTCTTCCATTAGGCTTTGCTAGCCCTGGAAAGAATTTCAAAAGCGAGAGCAAGAATACTATCGATGAAATTATATTTTAAAAAACGCATGATAGAAGCTGAGGTTACCAATGACTATAACTAGTTAATGCTAGCTATCTTACCTATAAATGCAAATGGTACCTGGCCAACAGATTTACCATTACAAGTCCGAAAATGCATGTCCTATTTTATCTGCAAACTGCTTAAAAACGACCCGTTCGTCTTAACTAGCGAGTTAGCGCAGCTCGGCCAACTAAAACAACAGCGGCGGCGGAACTTATCTCCGCCAGTCCCTCCTGTGTCGATGACGCCGGCTAAGGTTACAATAGCAGGGCATCGAGGGCCGTCAAAAAAAAAAGAAAACCGTGGAATAAAAAGGCTCACCTCATTGAAGAATAAAGTGCAACAGAGTGGAAAAGGAAAGCCGACTGTAAGGCTAAAAAGAATTCCTTGAATGCGTTTGCAGCATCTACGAGGGGAGGCATTCGTCCTGCATGATCGCCATTTTCTTCTTAACTCGCTGCTGCTGCTGCTAGCTAACCTTTAGCATTTAGCAGTTAGCTCCAGATCTGCTTGCTTTCGCCGCTGTGCGCGCGCACGACTCCGAAGGGAGGGAGGGAGGGAGGGCGAATGGGGGCGGCGGCCTGCTCGCCTGAACGAGTTTGTGGCTGGGGGAGGGGAAGCGCGGTGGGGGAAACACTCCACTTCCTCTCACTGAACACAACCACACACGACTAGATGAGTCGAGAAATTAAAAAGTAAGACGTATTACAGCTATTTCAAATCGTTGGTGTCATCGAAAACATTCAAAAATGACTTGGGCAGTTATGCTCATGTGACTCACAAAAGGACAAGGACATTGTTCAAAACAAGTTTTGCTTTTGCTTTATTTTTCCTGATACTAAACCAGTCCCCCCCCCCCCCATCATGAACATGTATCAACCTCCACCGAAACAACTGATAGAAATACATCCAGATATGTATCAAATCATCATAATCCCATTCCCATCAGGTTTCGGTGACAAGAAATGATGTTTGCCAGAAGGTAGGAGGGGAAAAAAAATTTTAAAAAAATAAAACTTTGATTTTGAAGGAAAGAAGGGAGAAAGGAAGGTTAGGAATTCCTTCCTGACCTTCTCTTCTTGCTGGCTGGGGGGGAAAAAAAACTGTAAATCTAATAAAACAACAACAATAAAAAAGTTGTGTCTTCTTTCTTTTGGCCTACCAATGTCTGATATCAAGTTCTCAAGTTTGTCTGCAGAGACTCTGACATGTTGCAGGCTGAATTTAATAGAAGAATGTGAGTGTGAAGGCTTTTATTCAGGCGCCCTGTGATTGGCTGCCAACTTGTCCAGGCTCTACCCCGCCTCTCGGGCAAAGTCAGCTGGGATAGGTTCCAGATCTCCCATGACCCTAATGAGGACAAGTGCAATAGAAATACCCTGAAAAGAATTTCAAAAGCGACAGCAAAAAAGGTGTGAATATTCGAAAAAAGTTGCTTTGCGGGTGCGAGCGGGACTGCACGGTTGCAGGTGGCTGTTTTGAACATTAACCTGCCAGGGGCAAAAAGCAGTCAAATACCTTACTGATTTACCACCGGGATCTGTGTTTACTTTACAATACGATTAGATTAAAGAGCTTGTAAACAAGACATGGCGAGATCTCTTCAAATCATATTTTTTAAAAATACAACTCTGCCGTTTTCCCCGCTGTTTGTTTTTAGTATCGAGTTGGGGTCTCGTGGAAGAAGAATGAATAGTCATTCAAAGGTGTTCCATGGTAACCATTTCGAAGCACTATAAAAAGTGGGTTGTTGTTCATGTGCCATAAGTTCAAATTCCACGTTGTCAGTCAGCCACGGTGATAACACGCAAACTAAAAGGCGGCCAGAGTGTTTATTAAATGTGGATGGAAGAATCCATTCCTGAAAGCATTTACTTGAGCCCCAATTACGTAACAATCATGGCATTGTCGAAACTCTTGAAATAATACTGAATTGATGTTTTTTCTGTAGTACCAATGTTAACATGAGTCTACATGAAACAAAAAAGTGACAGAGTCCCACTCTTGTAAAAAGATATCACGAGGAGAAACCGAGCGCCTCTGAGCAATGTAGGCAGAGATCAGGCGGCGACCTTGACAAGCAGCGTGTTGTATGCGGACCCGCGGTGGTTTAATCATTCACACTCATATTGACACACGCTGCCGTTCATTTTCCTGAAGACACACACCCCACACGTAACCTGCTTGCATAGTTGCGGTCGATGCATCTTCATAACGACATTGTTATCAGGCATGGCCAAGAAAGACATGAGCAAAGGTTCCTGTCAATAGGCAATGGGAATGCTGGAATGATGTCGGCTGCTTAAGGATTTGTGTGCTCGTGACGATAACATTGTTTTTAAATCTTGTTGTGACTTCAAGATAATATACCTGATATCATGTAATTTGAACGTAACATCAGGTTTAAATGTGCTGGATGTGAGCACAATCTTCTTGCCATACTGTTTGCCCGGTAAGCTTATCTAGTGCAATTGATAATTTAATGAATTATATTGCTCATACTGTAATGAACAGCCAGGCTCTGCCCTATTTCAGAGTCAATTGCAGGTCATAATTTCATCATAAAAACAAACAAAGTAAACGAATGCAAGACTTGCTCAAGGTATTCATCTTCTACTGTCTAAAATTAAAGATGAATATTTGCAATTGTTTTTAATTGTGTGGACTGCATACAGTTTCATCACATCATTTGTTGCAAAACCCATAAAATAATCAAATCACAAAAGTAAGTAACCGATTCCCAAGGGAATGAGAGGAGCCGCTTCCATTGGCTGGGAAGCTGGTCGGCCGTGTTCACTCCCACAACGGCGCAAACGCCTGCTACTAACTGCACTTATCTGCGAAAATACCAAAAGAAAGAGAACTTCACCCATGTGCGCAATTAAACCACACTTTGTGCTTGACTTGCGCTGGGGCCAAAAATAAAGCCAATAAAATGATTTCAAAACCCACGCTAGCACATGCTAACTAGTCAACCACCGTGCCGTCGCTAGTGAACTTTTGTTTCGGGGGCGGGGGCTCAAATTTTCTACGGCTCGAACATTCTGGTGTTTAATTAAATACAATGTTTATTTCTCTTTGGTTGTATTTGTCTGGTATGCATCTTCTGAGATAAAAAGGGATTCACTGTAGCTCCATTATGGTATGAGCATTTCTCTAAACTGTAACATCCTCATGTTTGTGCTTGACTTGTGCTGGGGCCAAAAATAAAGCCAATAAAATGATTTCAAAACCCACGCAAGCACATGCTAACTAGTCAACCACCGTGCCGTCGCGAGTGAACTTTTGTTTCGAGGGCGGGGGCTCAAATTTTCTACGGCTCGAACATTCTGGTATTTAATTAAATACAATGTTTATTTCTCTTTGGTTGTATTTGTCTGGTATGAATCTACTGAGATAAAAAGGGATTCACTGTAGCTCCATTATGGTATGAGCATTTCTCTAAACTGTAACATCCTCATGTCGTATTATCTGGGAAACATACGCGTCCACGAGAACGAATTATCAGGTGCAGCGCCAGGAATGTGCAAAAAAAAAAGCGCGCGGCTCATTGTAGCAGAGGTCAAAGAGGGAAGCATAGATAATTGTAGTCAAATGTGGCGGTATGTAAAAAGAAAGTGAGTTGTGAGGACAGAAAGAAAAAGAGAGAAAGAAACACAGAGAGAGAGAGAGAGAGAGAGAGAGAGAGAGAGAGAGAGAGAGAGAGAGAGAGAGAGGTGGGGGGGGGGGGGGGGGGGGTCCAAGAGACGCAGACAGAATAAGGTCAGAAAAGAGATTTGCATGTCAAGTAGTAATAGGGCGGTCCTCGTGCACACATTCGCACTGAGCTTCATACGCATGCCGTGTGAAAGCACTGCAAAAGTCTCTTTACACTGTAAGAAATGAATGACAAAATAAATACAGAAATGGCTGGAAATGATGACAAAATGGGTGTGATCTCATCCTGGAGTTTCACATAGTCTGTGCATCCGAGCTCAGTGATATTGATCCATTCGCCGTAGTTATGAGCAAGTTCTTTTCAAACTCTGTACGCCATGTAAAACAAACGCTGACTGTGCAGATGTAACTAATGTGGTGGACTGTGCGCCTATAGCTCGTGCATAAATGGCCTTAAAGGCATCAATCTTGCAGTATGTGCTCACTGTCACATTAGGGGAGCTCCTAATCCCTCACGTGGCCCTCAAGTGGTCCGCATCCTCATCACCACAGCACGTTCATTTTTCACATTTCCCCCTATTTTCCTCATTATTCTCCTCCCTCCTTTTCCACACACGTGACAACAGCTCCAACAGGCAGGCTCACGCTCGCTGACTGACGTTCTGATTCACTTTCATCTACTTTGTATCTTTATCTCCTTTCCTTTTCATCCACCGTCCAAAATCCCTTCTCAGGCAGGCTAATTATAAGTTAAGTGTCCTTAGGTGTTAAGCGTTTGGCAGAAAGAATAGGTTTCAATGGCAATCTTAAAAATCCCCTTTTAGTTTATTCGGAAGACGTATGAACGCGACATAACTAAAATCATAAAACGGAAGTCGTAATTTTACAAAGTTGCCATAGTATATGATCTCTAAAAAAAAAAAAAAACTCTCTCCAGTTGGATGCCATCAAAAGTTATGCCAACTGAAGGGACCCGTGAAGCTAGAAATAGCACAGCCGCACCGAAACAAACTCACCATATGGACATCAGTATATGGCATATCATCACGACATCGTTCCATTATGGATATCTTAAAAGGGTGCTCAGCAGGAGCTTTCTCTCATCATGCAGATACTGGTGATAAGATATGCACGCTTTTATTCAAATTGCCTCTCATCTGCATACATATCACCTATCAAGTGCTGCCCTTTCACCTCTATTACCGCAGGAGCTCATGCAGAACTCTGGTCAAAGAGCACTCGGAGCTGCGGTGTTTTTTACGACGCCGCACATAAAATCGCATGCAGTGTGCAGCTTCAGAAGAAGCCCGTGGAAAGGTTTGGGACCAAATAAGGAAAATACTTCTTCGGTCACATCAAAAAGCAACATTTAAAGGTCATAAGATGTTCTTCCGCAGTGTTTTGTTCATCTGAGTGCCGACCGCAGGTTACATTGTGTTATTCATTCCTTCTGCAAAGACGTCACAGTCAAAGAAAAAATGAAATGCACGATTTCAATGTTTGAATCTTTTAAACTCAAAATATGTCGGCACCCTGTGTGGTGGACATCACTCGAAAAATGACACTTTGACAAGTGAAGCTGTTTGATTGCGAAGACACAGTTGAGGGAGGGGGCTGGATCGTGATACAATAAAGTTTGGCTGACCCAAAAGACATTGTCATGTACTGGACCACCACTGGCCTTTTGTTTGGCCGTGAACAGCCATCGGGACCCCTTGCGGAGCAAGACAGACAGACAGAGAGGGAGAAGGTGCATTTGAAAGCATGAATGACAAAAGAGGAGCGGGATAATGTGACACGAGGAGAAGAAGTGTCAGCAGAAAGCAGATGACATTGAACAAATAAAGGACAAAAAAAGAAACACTTCAGCGAGCACAAATCTA